AGATACACACTCTGTAGGCAGAGTATGGGCTGTCTCAGAGGGCAAGAGGTGTGGCCCCAGAGCATAGCGTTACATCTTTGAAAGTGAGACTGGCCACGAGGTGTGGGGGTGGTTAGTTTTCAAGGGCTGGGAATTTCATATGCTAATAAGTAGGAGGACTATTTCAACTGTGTTAGGGAAAGGGTGGGGATTTCCAGGAATTGGGCGACCACCCACTTTTTGGCCTTTTATGGCCAGCCTTTGAATTGTCTCGGTGCCTGAGGGTGTGCCGTGAGGCTCAAGGTCCACTGGAAGTCAAATCCTCTCCCATCTTTGGCTGAGTTGGTTCTAACCAGTGTATGTCATATCTTCAATTGCTGTCTTTCTTTTAATGGTTGTGCCCTGCTCCCTTCCCTCTTGTCTCAAAAGGTAGGGTATATCTGGGGGACCACAAGATCCAAGTAGCTAGAGAGAGTTTGGGAAGAAGCTCAGATTTGAGACTGCAGAGGTGGGTACAGATTGGACTGTCTATGAGGCCAATGTTTCTCAAACTCTGGATGCTTTTATTTTAAAAGAAAACATTACCTCAGTGCTGTAATTGGAAAATCAATATCCTTTGCCATAAATATATATCATAAAAACAATTTTAGTAAAAAAGAAAAAACCCAATTGAGTACACTTTAAACAGTTTAAAATTAAAAAAAAATAATAATAACAAATCGAATCTGTTTACCAAAAATGCACTCCTAAAATTATCTTCATCTGGGAGAAAAATAACATGGTTTGTAATCTGTCAGTAATAAAGAGACTCGGCTCTGCTTCCTTTAGTTTCAGACTAAGATGAGGGTTCTGTCAAGAAAATACTGTGTTTCTGTTTTTGGGTTAATTAGCCCCAGATTCTCAACACACCTACAAGGGAAAACTTTCTAACATGTATTTCTCTCTGAAAATGAACCAGGCTGCCTCCAGGAGCAGTGACCCCCTGCCTGGAGCATTCTAGCAGATGCCTGCCTGTGAAGTGGCTTTGAGGTTTACTTAGTGTCTAATGTCTGTGATTGGGAAATATTTCAAAACACTAACCCAGAGATTAAGAAATGTATGCCTTTATTTTAATCATTAAAATACAGATAAAAGGTTTTGAGTTCTACAGAAATAATTTAAAGCAATAATTGTTAGAGATGTATGGAGTCCTAATTACACCTGCACATGAGTTCTATGTCCAGCAGCAGTAGTAATTGGTTTAAAAAAACAAACAACTTCCCCCACAAAATACTTGTATATATCTTGAAGACACGTCAAAAATCCCCAAACAGAAAAGGACTGTTAGTATATTCTTAGAAAACAGTGCTCCTGGGAAGCGTGAGCCCTTCCTGAAACTATCCTTTGTTAATTAACACAGCTAAACTCGAACTCCTCGGATTGTCAGTGCCTTGGGTTATCTATTGCTGGATAACCAATTATCCCAAAAGTTAATGTTTTAAAACAACAATACTTACTTTATTTTGCAATTCTGTGGGTTAACTGGGCTCAGCTGAGTGATTCTTCTGCTCCATGTGTTATCAGGTGCAGTTGCCATTGGCTGGGCTGGAACATTCAGCAAACCTAGCTTTGTTCAGTTATAGGTGTGTTCCTCGTGGTCTTTGTCAGTATGGTATTGAGAGCATGAAACGTTTATTGATTTGGTTTCAATCTCCCTATTTCTGCTAACCTTTAAGAATTACCATTTATCAAGTTTGGGTATAGTATATCAAAGAAGAATATCCACAATTATCTGAAAAGGCTATTAAAATACATTCTTTTCCAACTTTATGAGGCTGGACTTTTTTATGTACTTTAGCCAACAAACCATCATAGCAGATTAACTGCAGAAGCAGATACGAGAATTCAGCTGTCTTTTATTGAGTCAGAAATTAAAGAGATTTGCAAATATGTAAAACAATGCCACTCTTCACTAATTTTTGTTTGGGGATATATAGTTAATCTTTAAAATATGTCATTATCATTTTGGTTTTGATGACGTGCTGTGGTTAAGTAAGATGTCACCACTGGGGACTGCTGGATGATGGAAACATGGGGTCTCTCTGCATTATTTTCAACTTCTTGTGAGCCTATAATTATTGCAAAATAAAAAGTTTAAACATATTTGTTAACTTAATAAGTATAGTTTTTATTTTAAAATGATTAATAAATATCTGAAATATTTCTCAGTTTCAATTTCTAATACCGTAAACATCAATGGAGATAGCCCACATAAGCAAAAGCTCTTGAGATCTTCAGTAATTTTTAACAATGTAAAAGAATCCTGTGATTGAAAACTTTGAGAATCACTGCACTATAAGTAAAGGTGAGAAATAACATGGCTTAGACTAGGGAGGTAGCAATGGAGGAGTAAGAAGGGGTCCAATTCTGGATGTGTTTTGAAGGTAGAGTCAAGCTATGTTGAAGAATCGGATGTAGAAAACAAGAAAAAGAAGTTTGTTTTGTTTTGTGTTTTGCATAAGGAAACTGATAGGATGAAACTGACATGTAATCAGATAGGAAGGCTCACAAGAGGACTAGATTCGGGGTGGGGGGAATAGGAGTTTCCAAGGAGTTTATCTTGGAAATGTTAAGTTTTGAGATGCCCATTAAATATCCAAGTGGAGAAGTATGTGTGTTTAATCTGATTACATCAGGCTTTCTTGTGTCTGTTAACACTAAAATTTGGGGGTATTTGGCAATGTCCTCATCTAAATCTAAAAATGTGAGGTTTCTGAATTGGCCTCTCATATTTACAGTTATCCCAGTGCAAATAGCAGTTAATGTCTTACCAAATAACCCCCCTTCACTATTGCAGGGTAAACCAATTAGATGAGCAGTCCTGGAGCCTGGCTGCACATTAGAATCACCTGGGGCACACTTAAAACGCTCCAATAGCATGGCCTCTTACTCAGAGATTTTGATTTAATTGGTCTGGAATGGGGCCACAGACATCCTGTTTTCAAATATCCCAGATGATTTTAATGAGCAGTTAAGGCTAAATCACTGGATTAGACGCATGATTTTGCTGTTTCTTCCTAGACCAATTTAAAAACTCTTTTAAAATTAAAACTCCCTTGAAGCCAATCCCTGTGGTAATTGATAAAGGAAATTTTCTCAAAGTGTTGAATGTATACATAGAACTTGCCTACTGCAGGACACAGAGCCTAAAGGGTGTATAACAGCAAACAGCGAGGGCCCAGAAGAAATAAGAGCCAAAGCAACCACTTCCCAGAAAACTGGTTAGAGCGAGCAGAAGAATGGCCTGATGTGAATCTGTGGCTGTGCCATCTAGACTCAAGAAAGGAACTCGGCGTTTAGCCATCGACCCACCAAGCTCCAAGACAGCCATCCAATCCTGAATTGACAAGCCAAGGACTTTTGTAGTTTTTGTGTTTCAAGAGTCTGGGCACAGCTTTACAGGAGCCTCAGCTCAGGGTCTCACAAGCCTGCAGTCAAGGTTTGGCCAGGCTGCATTCTCATCTGGAGGCTCCACTACATCTGGAATAATCTGCTTCCAAGCTAATTCAGAATGTCGGCAAAATTTATTTCCTCGTATGATTGGAGGCTTTGGATTTTTGTAGCTATCAGTTGGAAGCCATCTGCAGATCCTACAGGCCACCCAAAGTTCCTTGTCATGTGGGCTCCCTCAATGTGGCTGCATGTTTCCACAAGCCAACAAGGAGAATTTCCTGCTCCAGTCTACTAACGTGGAATTTTATATAGCGTCATATAGTTACAGGACAAACACCCCGTCACCTTTGCCATATTCTGTTGATCAAAAGCAAGTCACAGGTCCTGCCAGCACTTGTGGAGAGGGGAATCAGGCAAAGGCAGGAACACCAGGAGGTGAGATATCACTGGGGTAGAGGTCACCTTAGGGTCTGTTTCCCAAACAAAAAAGGGCATATAATCCAGGGATTGTTTATAATCAAACCAAACAGATAATATTGTCCTGGAAAACTGGAAAGGACACTGGATGGAGCCAGGGATCAGGGGTTCTGGTCTTGGCCGTGTCATTAACTAGGTCACATACCTGGACTTCAATTTCCTGTACAAATAAAATGAGGTAGGGGAGATACCAACCAAAGAAATGCATATAAAATAGCATGGAAGCACTATCATTCACTGTTAGCAAAACTTAGAAATGACTGCACTCTGAGCTCATGAGTTTATGGGGAAACTAGTGTGCTCAGTCCTGAAAAGCAACCTGTCAGATGTTCACATCTGTGGCGATTAGTGTTACACGTCCACTCGGCCGTGGGGTGCCAAGATATTCAGTAAAACGTTATTTCTGGGTGTGTCTGTGAGGGTGTTTGTGGGTGAGATTAGCACTGCAATCAGCAGACTGAGTGAAGCAGATGGCCCTCCCCAGTGTGGGTGGGCCTCACCCAATTCACTGAAGTCCTGAAGAGAATAAAATGCTGAGTAAGGAAAAGACTCCTTATCTTTGCTTGAGTGCCTTTAAGCTGGGACATCTGTCTTCTCTCACCTTCAGACTCTGACTGACCAGAATCAACTGTCAGCTCTCCTGGGTCTCCAAACTGCTGACTGCAGATCGTGGAACTTCTCAGCCTCCGCAACCACGTGAGCCAATTCCTTACAGTAAACCTTTTTATAGACTAATAAGACTCCCTTTGACAAAGTAATCCCAGTCTTGGGGCTCTAGCCTGTGAAAATGTATAAATTCAAATGATTTTTAGGAAACAGGCTATCTGCACAAAGTTGTTAACCACAGTGTTGTTTATAATAATGAAAAACCGGAAACAAGACACATGTTTAACACTAGGAGAATGGCTGCATAGATTATACTGCATCCATTTGAAATTATGCAGCCTTTAAATGCATAATCATGAAGACTATGTAGCAACACAGATGTGAACTTATAAAATAAAAGCAGAACATTAGATTACATAAGCATTATAGTTACAACAAGAAAAAGTAAATAATGAGAAGAATCCATACGTTTGGGTCATGGGGTTACACAAATAATTTTTCATAACTTTCCTTTACTAATAAGACATTACATATCTTTTATTTATTGTTTTTATAATGAAAACAATGAAGGAGTTGAATTAGTAGTTCTTAACTGGGATAGACTTGAGAATTTAAAAATACATCTCAGTACTACCTTGTGAAAATTCTGAGATGGGGCTAGGGCACCTACATATTTAAAATACATACACACACACTCTAACTTCACCCTCCACCCCAAGAATACAGGTGATTCTGATGCATGTTGGTAGGCAAAGCCACAGCATAAAGTTCCACAGTTTCTGGAGAATAAGGGAACTATTCTGGCAACGAGCTCAGCACTGCTCATGAGGCACCTCGGACGATGGAGACCAGGCTGGCCTTAGTGTGCGCCTGGGCTGCTGCAGGCACTGCTGTTGGTGTTTGTGGTTCGTGGGCAGTCTGAGGCATCGCCCTCTGAGCAGGACTGCTCCACAAGGCGGAAGGCCTCCAGGAACTCATTGATGTCAATGTGGCCATCCTTGTTGAAGTCAATGCTCCGGGCAAGGTCGCAGATGCAGTCATCTGTGATGTCAATGTTCATATGAGAGCTGAACAGCTTCCAGGTCTGCCTGAACTCGTCCAGTGAGATGAACCCTTACCAGAGAGAGCAAGTCACTTAGTCTAGTTTTCAGTGCTCATTTCCTCTGACATTCTTGCAAGGACACCTGGTTGCAAACAAAGACACCCAAGGCCTAGTATCCACTTTAAACTCCCAAGAGGATCGTACAAAATCACTAGATCACCAGTGGTTCTCAGCTGGGAGCAAGTTTGCTCTTCTAGGGACGTTTGTAAATGTTTCGAGACATTTTTGATTGTCATGGGGGGGAGGGTGTTATTGGCATCTAGTAGGTAAAGGGCAGGGATGCTACTAAACATCCTAAAATGTACGGGATGGGCCCCCAAACAAAGAATTGCTCAAGCCAAAATGTCAGCAGTGCCACTGCTGAGAAGCCCTGCATTAAATCATCCCAAACATATGCTAATTTATTCTGCTTATAAAAAGCCTTTGGACCTATATGTCTATGGTCAATTGACTTTTCACAAGGGTTCCAAGACCATTCAATGGGGAAAGAATAATATTTTTCAACAGATGGTAGGGGACAACTGAATATCTACATGCTAAAGAATGATGCTACACCCCTACCTTGCACTACAAATAAAAATTAACTCAAAATGGATTAAAGATCCAACTGTAAGAGCCAAAACTGTAAAACAATTAGAATACATAGGTATAAATCTTTGTGACCTTCAGTTACATAACATTTTCTTAGATATGACAACAGAAGCACAAACAACAAAAGAAAAAAAATGGACTTTTTTTAAAATTAAGAACTTTTATGTATCAGACGACACTACCAAGAAAGTGAAAAGATGACCCATAAAATCTGAGAAAATATTTGCAAATCATATATCTGATAATGGCTTAATATCTAGAATATATCTTAAAAAACAACTCAACAATAAAAAGACAACCCAATTAAAAGATGGATAAAGAATTTGAATAGACATTTCTCCAGGGAAGATACGCAAATTTCAATAAGCACAAGAAAAGATGCTCAACATCATTAGTTTCTAAGGAAATGCAAAGCAAAACTATTAAAAGATATTTCACACCCAGTAGAATGGCTATAAAAGTTTTTTTAATGCAAAATAACAAATGTTGGTGAGGATGTGGAGAAGTTGGAACCCTCATACATTGTTAGTAGGAATGTAAAATGATATAGCCACTGTGGAAGACAGTTTGGCAGCCCCCCTAAAAGTTAAACTTAATTTTACCATGTGGTCTAGCAGTTGCACTCCTGGGAATACATCCAAGAGAACTGAAAACATGTTTACACACAAAGTTGTATATGAATGTTCATAGTGACATTATTCATTATAGCCAAAAAGTGGAAATAATCCAAATGTCTATCAACTGATGAATGGATAAACAAAATGTGATATATCCATATAATGGAATATTATCCAGCTATAAAAAGAAATTTTGAAAACTGACACATGCTGTAACATGGATGAACCTTGAAAACATACTAAATGAAAGAATCTGGATCCCAAAAGCCATGTATCAAACTATTTGTATGAAATGTCCAGAATAGGCAAATTCGTAGAGACAGAAAGCAAATTAATGGTTGCCAGGGATTGACGGAGAAGGAAATGAGAAGGGGGAGTGACTGCTAATGGGTATGGGTTTCTTTTTAGGGTGATGAAAATGTTCTAAAATTAGATGGCGATAACAGTTACACAGGCTTGTGAATATACTAAAAAAGCACAGAGTCACACATTTTAAATGGGTAAATTATATGGTATGTGAATTATATCTCAAAAAAAGTAATAATATTTGAAAAGGCCTCTGGACCACTAAAGAAATATGGTGAGGGTATACAGGACTTCCTTGTACATTTTTTTGGTAACTCTTTGTGAATCTATAATTATTTAAATATTAAAAAAAATTTATTGAAGTATAGTTGGTTTACAATGTTGTGTTGGTTTCTTGTGTACAGCATACTGTACAGTTCATTATATATATATACATATATATTTTCTTTCATATTCTTTTTCATTATACATTATTGCAAGATATTGAATATAGTTCCCTGTGCTATACAGTAGGATCTTGTTGTTTATCTATTTTATATATAGTACCTAGTATCAGCAAATTCCAAACTCCTAATTTATCCCTCCCCCTCCTTTCCCCTTTGGTAACCACAAGTTTGTTTTCTATGTCTATGAGTCTGTTTTATAAATAAGTTCATTTGTGTCATTTTTTTTTGGATTCCACAAATAAGTGATATCATGTATTTGTCTTTCTCTGACTTACTTTACTTAGGTCCATCCATGTTGCTGCAAATGGCATTATTTAATTATTTTTTATGGCTGAGTAGTATTCCATTATATATATATATATATCTCACATCTTCTTATATATATATATATATCTCACATATATATATATATGAGATATATATATATATCTCACATCTTCTTCATCCAGTAATTCATCAGTGGACATTTCCATGTCTTGGCTATTGTAAATAGTGCTGCTATGAGCATTGGGGTATATGTATCTTTTTGAATTAGAGTTCCCTCTGTATGTATGCCCAGGACTGGGATTACTGGATCATACAATAACTGTATTTTTCAGTTTAAAAAAAATCTCCATACTGTTTTCCATAGTGGCTGCACCAATTTATATTCCCACCAACAGTGTAGGAGGGTCCCTTTTTTTCCACATCCTCTCCAGCATTTATTATTTGAGGACTTTTAATGATGGCCATTCTGGTGTGAAGTGATATTTTGATTTACATTTCTCTGATAATTAGCAATCTTTTCTCTGATAACTGAGCATCTTTACATGTGCCTATAAAATTTTTTAAAATAATACTTTGGGAATGAGAATTGCAAAAGCCTTCCTGTTCTGGACACTCTTCATTACTTTGTGGCTATCTTTGATAGAACTGTAAGGGATAGCACATCTAATAGTTCTTCCTGTAAGAAGTTTATCTTCCTCATTCAGTTGGTCTTCAGTCTTCTCTGCCAACCCCTTTCTATACAAAAAATTCATGTTGCTCAAGTACTTTTCTAGTTTCTGCCATTTATGAGCATTGCCAATAATTTTGCTTGAGTAGAGAGCAAAATAATAAGGGAGGAGACCAAAGGGTGGGAAGTAAAATACTTGCTATGTGTCAGAAGTGACAGGATAAGGAGTGCCTTTACCTGAATGATCACTGTCTATGATCCTAAAAATGGTCTCCAGGTTGGATCGGTTTCGATACAGTGTTTCCAGCAAACTTGACTGTATGTTCTGCAAGAAAAAATTCTTATTCCTTCTTTTATGTTTAGGCTTCTCAATACATAATTAACATAAAATCAACCCTGACAATAAGACTCTTGAAAGAACCTGAAGATGTTTTATGATCCCTCACCCCAACTCCCTCCAGCCTACTAAATAATCTAGCAGTTTAAGAAGCACCTAGCCCATGATGAAATGTTCTAAAATTGACCATGGTGATGGTTACACGTATCTGCAAATATACTAAAAACCATCAAACTCTACACTTTAAATGGATGAGTTGCATGATATATATGAATTATATTGCAATAAAGCAGTTTTTTTTTAAAGTCACATAACCCAAGTTCTCACATACATTACACATAAGTATTTTTGAACAAATACCTTTTTGAATGGGGGAAGCAGCACTGCATCAAAGAAGTCAGACAGACCTGGGTTTGAATCCTAGGTTCTATAATTTAGAAACTCTATTATCCTAGGCAGGTTACTTAACCACTGTGAGCAGTGTTCTCACAAGTATACTGGTGCTGATTACAACCTACCTCTTTGGGTGGTTTTGTGGGTCAACAGAGGCAACATATGTAAATCACTTAACACAAAATTTGATATGTAGAAATTCAACAAACAGTTGTTCCCTTTTCTCATTCATCTCCCCTTTGGGATTCTCAATATTTGGCTGTTTCTGATTCAAAGTTCTCATAAGGGGCTTGAAGGCCCATAATATGCTCTCGACCACCATTTTCATACCATTACCTCGTGGCTCAATTTTTCTTTGGCCAAGTTCTCCAGCCAGGACTTGTATTCCAGCATGTTATCCGTTGAGCTGTTCACCAGCTGCGGCCGCAGCATCCGCCATGGCAGTCCCAGATGCAACACAGACTCCACAGCTGCTGCCCAGTCACTCAAGGTGACTAAACCTGCAGGAAAGAGCTCACTTGTTGACTTGTCATGTATAAATTTGGTTTCGTGCCCAAGAATGCATTCCTTTTTATCCTGACATTCTTCTTACTATCTGTAGGTAACAGAAATAATGGGCACTGTCATTATTTTTGTTGCTCATGGTAGGGTTGTTTGGAAAGTTGGATTGTCAGACAAAATACAGGATGCCCAGTAGGTCTGAATTTCAGACAGACCACAAAAGTATAAGTGTGTCCCAAATATTGCATGGGACATACTTACATTTAGAAACTATTTGTTGCCTATCTATAATGCAAATTTAATTAGGCATCCTGTTTTCATTTGCTAAATCTGGTAATACTATTGGAAGTCACAGAAGACTCTTGTAAACAATATCATAAAACATTATATAATATAGCTCTATATTGATACAGAGATACATAGCATTGGTTGTTTATGTGTATGAAAAGATATTGCTATGACTTTATGACTGTTCCTGCTATTTTTCAATAGGGCTACATTGTAGTCAATGTCCATTAGACATTCCATTGAGTTGAGAAAAGACAAAATTTTCAGCTTGGATAATAGAATGCAGAACAGATAAGTACACATGTAACAACAAGAAACCAAATCATTGATCTTTTGTTAGTCTTGGATCCACTCTTGTAACTTGTCCCCCCATTGCTTTTTGCTTAGTTCTGGCCTTGTCACCTTTCCCTTGACTCCATTTTTTTCACTATCTTCATTTATATTTAGCCAAGTTCACATTCTGTTAAAAGCTTAGAATTTAAAAATTTAGAAATGATAACTAGGACGTTAAGTTGAATAAAATGGAGGAAGTAGTCAAAGAAGTCTTCTGGTCATTTGGTCCTTAAATATTTATTTGCTAAGAAATGCAAGACAGAGATTTTTTGGCCAGCTTCCTTCCTCTATGAATATTTTACTTGATTAGTCTTACCAGTTTTATCTTTGTCATGCTTCTTAAATTCAACAAGAAGATCTGAGGAATGGGCAAATAACTTCTCCCGCAGGGCTCTCAGAGCTGACGCCTCCACTCTGCTAATCCTGGGACAGGAGACAAAAAGGAGCATTTAAAAAAATTAGTGTAAAAGAAAGTCATGGGTTTTCACCAGGTTTTGCCTATCTCTTTCTTAATGTCTCAGCTTCCCAAGAGCTCTCGGGTTTTGAGGGAGGAACTCCATCTCTTACGTCTCCCCAGTGCTCGCCTGAATTTTCCTGTTGTGCACAAAGAGGGCCGGTCTGGGGGATGCTGCTGTCCTTCCCAGGGCAGGATAGTGGTTAGAGCAGAAGTTCTAGAGAAACACCACTTTTGTGGTAGTTACCTAATTACGCTGTACTTCATTTTCTCTGTCTGCAAAATAGGGATAAACATGGTACCTCACCCACAGGATTATTGTGAAGATTAAATAAGTAAATTCATATAAAGTACTCAGAAGAACACCTGGGACATAAGAAAGCACTCGACAAGTGGTATTAGCAAAATCATATGCTTTTCTTGTAATTTATTATTTTGTTAAAAAGTCACAGGCAGGATTTATGAATAACAAAATAACACTAATTTAGTTTTCTTATTCTTACTGGATCAACAGAGTAATGAGGGGCACAGTACTTGGCTCCAATAAGTGTTCAGTAAATATCTGTAGTTGAATGAACAAGAAGATAAAAAGAGGTAAAAGGGAAATATATACTTTGTCCGTTCTCATAGAGGAAGCAGCCTTCTATAAATGATGACCAGATAACCTATCTTTTCCAGTGCTAAAAATTTTAAAAAAACAACCCAACCAACAAAAACACCCCAATTCAGTCATGTTTGATGAAAGTTTTCCTTGAAGTTTAAGGTACTTAGCATAATATTCTCCATAGACATCCCCCGCACCCCCCTGGAAAAGTGTGAGCTGCACAAAGCTCATCTCAAATTTTATGGGTATGGGAATGTTTCTGATTTTTCTGGAGAGTTTGTTGTTTTATCAGAGGCTAAAAGAAGTATGGGATCACCCCCCACCCCAAGAAAAAAGGTTAAGTCCCACTGGTTTGGCAAAGCATTTAAACCATTTCTGGTAAATTGTAGTCACTGATGTTTATCATGCAGGGATGTAGTACAGCAGTGCCCTTGGAAGCCGTCTGGATGCACAGGGCTCTCTGTGCCTACGTCAGGCAGCACATATTGAGCACTTACTGGAATTACAGAGCTCTGCATGGATCATCTGACTAATCCTCCAACACTACCGAGGTAGGTATGACTACTGTGCCTAGTACAGGGTAACTAACTAGCCCAAGGTCACATAGCTAATAAGGGGTGAGGCCAGGAATCAATCTTGACAGGTAGACTCCAGGCTGGCTACACTGTTATCCTGAGATGTGGATTTAAACCATAAGTAAATGGATTCTGAATGAGGGTTCCTCTAGGAAAAACATGTGATCTTGAGTTTGTGGCCATTGAGACCTCAGTTGTTGTTGGTCAGAGACATTTCCCCGTTTGTTTCTAAGTTCTCTGTTGTGGTCCAGATAGTTGAAGCTGTTGGACAAGTGACTTCTGGGTAAATCGGAAGATGTTGTAGTTGCTTTAAGTGAATTTCAAAAAACTGAGTGCTCTTTAATTATGTTATTTAAACATGTTATTTATAGGATTCCCTAGAGTAACTCCTTTTGTAGTGACAATACCTAAGTCACATGGAATAATGGCATTCCAGGTGCCTGGGGCCCACTCCTGAAGATTCTAACTCTAATCTGCTGGGATGAGGCTCAGATGGCTGATTTTTTTATAAAGCGCCAGAGATGATTCTGCTGCATAGTAGGTTTGACTATCATTTGATGAGTTTAAATTTTCACATAATACTTCTTTTTGAGTGATGTTAGCCTTGATTGTGTATTAACTTGAGTGTTTAATAACTTGAGTGATTTAAAATAATGCACTCTTATAGCACTCATACAAGACAGATGCTAAATACTTTTTCCACTAGATTTATGCTAACTTTGTTTTGATTTCTAATTGCGTTTGATAATTAAAGGAGTTTGTTCAGCAGCACAACTGTATCTTTTAGCAGTTTATATACTCTGGGGCCACCTTCTCAGTGGGAGGCAGTACTGCAGAGTTGCTAAGTATATGAGTTCTGAAATAAGACTGCCTGGGTCAAGGCTTACATTCACAGCTTATTAGCTGTGTGACCAGTGGCCAGTGGATTTAACCTTTGCTCCTTAATGATCTCATCTGTAAAACTTATTTAGTAACACTGGGTATTTCATAAATTCAAGTGAAACAATCTATAAATTCTTTATAGTAACACTTTGTGTGTGGTAAACTCTCAAGGAAAGTTAGAGCTCACAATCATCTCAACAGAAGCCATTTAGTAATAGTATATGCTTCCTTCCCAGAAAGAAAGGAGCATTGTTAACAAATATATGCACTGAAATCCATCTGCCAAGTCCCCAGATAGTGAAAAAAGCCTTGTCTGTCTGATGAGAGAAAACAGAAGAGTGACCCTGAAAAGACTCAGTAGCCTGTTATGTGGACTTTACCCAAGACATACCCACTGCTAATAATTTCTGTCACTTCCATTGAGGATGGGTGGGTAGAGATTTGAGAGCGTACGGAGAAGAAAGAGGAGCCCCTGTTATAATGTCTATTCTAGATCCTACTGCTGACATGGCTAAGTTTTGAATTCTGACTTAGAATCTGGATAAATGTAATGACATTTGAGCTTCAAATCTTCCATCAACACTACAATTCTGTTTCTTTTCCTGAAAATCATTCATTGAAAAGTCTTGCCTCTGCCTCATGGTGAGCTTGTGAGTCGCCTTGTTAGCTTGAAACTGCACGATGTGTGGGGTCAAAGCTGGCCCCAGTTTGACATAGGCTCCTCTGTTACTGCCAACTTCATAGTAGTTGGAGGCAGAAAAGATGGTTAACACCTAAATCAAAACAGAAGAGAGACAGGCATTCAGGTTCAGTGAAGAACTCTCCATCCTCAATCCAGTAGGGCCCAACCCAGTTTTGGGGGTGGCTGTTCCTTCTTGACCTCATCTATGTTTGTTTGTTTATTTAGTCATTAATGCTAGTAGGGCAGGAATTGTGACTCAAGTAGTAAAACCTTGAATTATGATAGGACATCCACAACACGTTTTCTTCACATCTTTATCGCCAGGAAAAATAGCAGGGGATCATAGAAAACTCTTCATTTGGTTCAACTCAGAAGCAAGCTGCGCCTGATACACTGGGATGGTCATTACAACTAGCAGGCAGATCAATTATTAAAGCTGGGGTGAAGCCTCCAGGCAGAGTTCCTACGGAGTGTTGTGCCTCCTCAGATGCTCCATGATAAAGTTTCCATAGTCCATACAGTTGGGAAAAGCTGGACACTGTGTCTCTTCTTGGAGATTTACAGTGAATACAGGAAATTAAAGGTTCTCAGAAGCCCTTCAGTAAAGAAACTTACACAACTGTTTAACATTCCTGTTAAACATTTCTTGCACTGGTTGATCTCAAGCTTTTTTCCCTGCGTGGAGACCTGTAATTCTCCTGTAGAGTTAGTATTCTTGGGAATACTTTCATCCTAGAGGCATTAGACTAAACAAACAGTGTAGGGTTTGGAGATGCCCAAAGACTTAGTCAGGATTTTAACTGGGCTCCTGAGAAGACAAGTGATCTGAGTCCCTGCCTGGGGCAGAGTGCGGAGATCCTGTGATCCTGCAGTGTAGTTTGAGACACGTGACAGTGAGCAATGTGACAAAGAATAGACATGTGGCTGGGAAAACACAGGGCTGTGTTTCTATCCATGAAGCGAGACCCTATCTGCCCCTTACTTTCCTCTCAGGGTATTGGTAAACGGTGGCCTCAATCAAATTTTAAGTTTTAAAGAGGCTACCAAAGTCAAGGATAAATGACTGGAAAGGGTCTAGTTGCTTTGAGCAAGTGGGTTAGGAAACACAAGGCACAGCTGATCGTGAGGAGCCGAGAGCCTTAGCTCATCCGTCCACACCTGGGAGGGGCCGTTGGGACCGCACTTGTGCTGCGGCCGGCATCCACCCACCTTGCGGTTGTGGCAGAATTCGTAGCCTTCGGGTTTGCACTCGTGTGAGCGGATCAAGAATTGCAGACTGTATTTCTGTAGCAGCCGTTCTGTCACGTTAGGCCCAAAATAACAGCCTCCCCCTCGGACAGTGTTGGCTTTGCAGCCCTCCTGAGCCATGGGGTCACTCCACAGTATATCCACCACCTGCAGAGACCAAGACAGGGTTCCTTCCTAGAAACTAGACAGACAGTCAGAGTGACTCTTATGGAAAGAGGAAAAAGAGGAGAAGAGGAAACTATTTGAATAAAAATAAGTGAATAACTTTCCATGCCATCAATATTTGGCATACATTTATATTTTGGAACCCTGAGGTTCTAGGCTCTTTTATTACTCACAAAGTGAGTGTCTGTGCACATTGTTTGACAAATATGTGCCACTGCCTTGAAAATAAATCATTTGTGAAAGCTCAACACGTAAAACAGACAAAAAGGGAGCAGCTCTGGTAGAAGCTTTGATCACAGCCAGTAACCTTCCATCAGCCTGTGCTCCAGGCTCCTGGACATTTGCCCCAAAGAGAAGGCAGAAGTCCCGGGGCTGGCAAAACAGTCTCTCATGTAGCATCACAAGGTCCCAGATGTGGTCCTGGGAAAGTGCATCTGAGTATTTTATTTCTTAAAATAATTTCCAAAAATTTTAAAGAATTTGCAGAAGAGCTGAGCCATTTTCCTAGCAAAGCAGATTCTACCCTATTGTTACAACACTGACAGCCAGTCTTGTTCAACACACATAAAATAATTGGATGTATTTGTTTAAGAAAACAACTACATTTGATTTATAAATACCAGCACATTATTATTGAGTCATAGTTTGCAAAAGGAGAGACTTGCAGTGTAAAATTTCAATTCTCAGTTGATGTTGAAGTCCAGATGGATAACTCAGGGAGCATGTAACCTAACTCACCATCTCTCTTGGCGGAGGTTTCTACCCTCAGTCAGCTGTGACTCGTCCTTCCTCACCACCCTCCCCATCCAATCAGTGAGTTCTGCTAATTTTAGCTCTTAAATAATTCTGAACTCTCTTCTCTTTATTGAATGAAGCTTTAGTTGCCATTTTTATAGGTCAAAAGTGGTTGAACACCACCACCAAGTTCATGTAGTTTTGTTAACACTACTACACAAGATCACCGGCATCATCTCCCATCTGGACCACAGCAGTCTCCCTGCCAGTCTTGCCCCAGTGAAATGTGCCCTCCATTTGGCCGCCAGAGTCATCGATTTGGGCCAGTACTGTGCGTGCCTACTCAATATCCATTCTTCTTTCTCTTCCTTGCTAAGAGAACATTTACTGGGGTATTTGGCATGGCAGTGTGCCTGGCTAAGTACTTGCTTTCCCACTCTCCCTTGCAGCTAGGGGGTGCCATGTGATGCAGCTCCGAAGATTTTGGGAAAGCCTTTAGTTGCCTGAAAACAGAATAGAAGCTGCTGAAGCCCTTTTGACCTTGAGCCACAGTGGCCATCTTTCTGACATATATATGTCAAATATATATTATGTATATTAGCAGAAATATATATATATATTAGCATCCAATAAATGGTGGCTTACCTTCTTACCCAATAATGCTAGCTCACTAAACCAAGTCTACTCAGGCAATAGAGCCCACCTGCTACATCTTCCCATCCTTTATAAAACTCTAAAGTCTATGAGTCATTAGGCAAAGAACAGTTTCCTTCTGGGGTGTTCTAACCTGAGGGAAAGAGAGAAAGAGGGGCGGGGAAGAAAACACTGAATTTACATGGAAGGAGGAAATTGTTCGCTGTTGGAAAGCTTTGGTCCCTCCCGACGGCGGCCGAATTGCCGGGAGCAGCGCCTGGCCACACGCACCTGCCTCCACTCCTCCTGCGTGGGCTCCAGCCGCTCCTCCGCTTCCGATGCCGAGGGCACGGGCTCCTCCTTCTCCTCGATCGCTGGGAAGCCCGCTTGCCGCCGGCACCTCCCCAGCTCCAGGTCCACGGAGCGCCGCACCTGCCGGGAGAGCTCTTTGGGGTCCGGGGCGATGCTGCAGGGGACGCTGGAGGAGCGCCCAGCTCTGGCGGCCTTGTGGGCGCTGGGGTGCAGAGGCGAGGAGGGGAGAGAGCGACTTTGGGGGAGAAACCACGGGGAGGGTCTCCCGGCAGAGCTCTTCTGGTTGTTTTTTCCCTTCTCCTCCGCCTGTTTCTTACTCTCCTTTCTCGTTTTGCATCTCAAGGTGGAAACAATCTGAAAATGTCCAGAAGAGATACAGATGTTGGAATGAAACCGTTGCTCCTTTCTGAGCAGCATTTTGGCATCAAGTCAGCGCTCCTCACTGTGGGCTCCGTGGTTTGTCCCGGCCCATGGCAAGGGCAGCACAGAACTGGGAGTAAGCCTTTGGAAGCTTTTGTAGCAATTTGATATTGCCGACATTCAAGCGCAAGGTCAGTGGGCTTCTATTTTTCGTTTGTATTTCATTTTTCTAGTAGCTCACTTTTACTGTATTTTACAAAAGCATTGATCTGTAACAAATTAGAAATTTATGAAACCTGATCTTCTACCACAGATAATTGGAGAAATGCTAACCTAGGTCATTGTTTCTAGGAACCTAGTGATTTTTAGATAAGGGTGAGAAGGGGCACCTGTCTCATCAAGGAGAGCCTGTATTGACTTTCCTGTTGTTCCACAGGTACGAAAGCAACGCAAAGAAATGCAGCTTGTGGTTGAGAAATGTTGGGATGGGAAAAATGTGCTGCTTGCTGGGGGAGAGGCAGCACTTAATGGCAGTTTACAGGAGGTGCTATCTTACCTGCGGAGGAAGCCTGGCCCTAACTTGGAAGATACTCTTCTTGCCAAAGGGACTGAATGTGGTCCCTCTCTCTGACTCAGAATCATGGTAGTGGGACTAGACTGAGAATGGAGACACAAATGGAAAGAATTTTGACAGCAGGAGAGGGTCAGGTCTCAGAGCAGAGCTGTGGCATCCAGCAAAAGGAGAGAGCAGCCGTCCCAGCGTGCCTGAGGGCCACAGGATCCACAGGGATATCAAGATAAAGGTCTGGTTCACAAAGGGACCTCTGTGCAAGTACGTAATCAAGGAGCGAGAACTTTCTGCAAATAGATCCAAGGACAGTGGTACGAGAAAGCCATGTCCCAGTGTGGACTGCCTGCGGGCAGGAACAAAGACGGATGCTCAGAGTGGCTCAGCAGTGCCTGACTGATGTTTGAAGAGGGTTCCAGATGGAAGAGAACAGAACAGAGGTTATTCTCTGACGTTGGACAAGTACTAATTACTTCCTAGGCAGTTCAGCTCTGCGCAGAGAGTGTGAAAGTCCTCAAGATGTGAACAGACTCAACCACCTCCTTCTCTCCTCGTTGCTTAATCACAGCAGGGGCCAGTCCATCGGTCTCGCCCCACCAGGTAACTTCATTTTAAGGATGTACCTGCCTCAAGAGGCATCCCTGACTTTAGTTCTTTAGGAGAATTGTGTTGATATGTATAGAGAATAATGGTGTTAATATGTATTGAGCCTTTTCCAAAGAGGTGCCATCTGGGCCCTTTATATGAATTTGTTGATTAGCCCTCACACCCCTGTGAGATGACATCTTCATTTATAGCTTCACATGAATTAACTGCCCAGCCCTCACACCCCTAGGAGGCAGCATCCTCACCTATAATACAGGTAGGAAAACTGAGGCACAGAGATACTAAGACTGCACCAGGACGGAATCTGGATAACTGACTCTGCAGCCCCTGCTTCTCTGAGTTTCTGAAACTGTGGGTGACATTAGTGAAATCCATTTCACCTGTAACCTGCCTTCACTAATCAAGGTCATTTTAATTGTTGCTGCAGACTTGCATGTCCTGCAAGCAGCATGGAGCCTAAACAATATGTTTGCCTGAGTTGTTTTTCAGGAACTTGGAGTCAGCTGCGTCTAGTCTGAGCTGAACTAGTTAAGAGTGAATGGGACCACCCACCCTCCAACTGAGTATGTGCGCATCCACTTGGCGACCTTCTGGACATGCCTGTAGCCTAGTTACGCCTGCGCAAAACCACGATTGCCGCACCTTTTTCCAATCACCTTTCCCCACGCTCCCCGCACCTCAGACCGCCCTGCTTCTTTGTTACCCCATAAGTACCCTGAGCCCCTTGCCTTCGGGGAGGCTGAGCTGAGATTTGTTCTCTGTCCCTCTCTTTGCTGCAGACCTTGGTGTCTCAGCCTCATAGCTTGCTATGCATCAGGCAAAAGGAACCTGGTTCAGTAACAAATCTGCCAGCCAGGAGGGAAGTCCAGGTGAAGCTTTTGCCCCTGGTTCTCGGCCCCTTGCTGGTATTGAGAGCCTGTGGACAAGTCCAAGCAGCTGCCTGGTCCCTCTATCACAGGGACCGTTCCCCTGGATTTCCCTGCAAGATGCCGCCGACTTTCAGTGCTTAGTTTCATTTTGCAGCAAGAGACAGCTTTGGGGTTGGAATACATCTTTTGGGTGAGTAAACTTGTTAAAGAAACATCCCTGTGCCTAGACCGTTTGGCAGTCCTGAAAGGTCGTGGGCTGGAGGCCCTGTCCCTTTTTGTCTACTTTGCCTTAATTGTTAAGAACTGGCAGTTGGGGATTCGGCTTCTTGGTGACTGTAGCAAGGACCCTCGGAAAGATTTTGTTGCTGTGACCACTTGGAAGCAAAGCCCATTCAAAATGGCAAAGGTTAATTCAGTTCCCTTTTGTAGCCCTCTGGCTGCATTTCCAAAACTGAGAAGACTTTCAGTTATGAATCCATGGAGAAGAGGTCTTTTTTGGTAGCACTGCATGGCCACAATATCCTTTAGATTTTTGCAGCTATATTTATTTTGTAAATGGGAAGAAAAACGGGATGAAATACCTTATGTACAGTCTTTTATTATTGTATCAGTATAAACCTGTGCAAAGAAAATGTAAGATTATGATCCAATAGGAAGGGAAGGCAAAGAAACCTGTTTTGCTTGATTTTAATGAAAAGGAGGATGCCTTGCTGTCAGTTCGGTCAGAAACCCCAACTGCTCCTCCTCCACCTTACGTGACGGTGTTGCTCTTCCATTGCCAGCACGTGAGCCTCAGGCTTGGGCCCCTCACCTTGATCTCTAAGGATCCAGAAATAGGGATGGTCTCCAACATGCCCAACAGGGTACTCGATTTGGCCAAGGATCTACCCAAACTCATAAGGGGCAATATCTGTTCAGGTAAGTTCCCACTGAGGGTGTGAATACTGAGTTGGGCAGCCAATGGGATTGACCTGGTTCCACTCTCCTTTTCCTACTTCGCATTTATTTAATTGGAAGAACAATACACGAACCTACAGAGATGATCCAAAGAGAATGGAAAATCTTTTTTTCATTGACTTTTGCAACCTATAACCCAGCCTGAGAAGATGTTTTTAATCGATGTTTTGCAACCCGGGTAAATGTATTAAACACCCTCCTCACTTCAGAAGAATGTAGAATGATGCTGGATGAAGCTGGGGAGGAGATAGATCGGCTTCATATAGAAACCCCTGGCCACCCAGTGTGGGCTGCAGCAAGCACAGCAGGACTAACAGCAGATACTAACTGGGATGTGAATGCTGAGCATAGGTCAAAACTTGAACATTATCAAGATTGCCTTCTTGCTAGATTGCAAAGAAGGGGCCCAAACAAGCCTTTAATAAAGTACAGGAGGTAAAACAGAAACTGAATGAGGATCCTTCCGAATTTCTAGAAAGGTCTTTAAAGCCTAAAGGCAGTATACAGTTACAGACCCTGAGGCCCCAGAGAATTTAAACATGGTTAATATGTCACTTACTGGTCAGCGCACCCCCCGCCCCCATACACAGAAGAAACTGAAAAAGGTGGAAAGGGCTCTAAGGATGCCTGTGTCTCAATTGGATGAAATGCCGTCAAAGTTTTTAATGGCAGAGACCAGGTTCAGGAGAAGAGGGAACAGTGAAGAAGGAAACAGGCCACTCTGCTTGTGGCTGCCTTAACACAGGGAGGAGCCCCATGAGGGACTCAGCAAAAGTTAGGAAGCCCCAAGCTTCCACTCAAGTGTGGCACCTGATAGTGAGACCCCACCAGTGTGTATACCGTAAACGTGTATACCGTAAACACCAGAAAAGAGAGTCCCATCCTAAATAGAACTCTTAGAAAAGGTAAACAACAGGTGGCGTGCCAGGGGCCCAAGCTGAGAATGACAGTGACCAAGAATGACGGGTCCCGGGGGTTCCTTTCAATCCCAGCGAGCCCATCAGCATCTCCCCTGCAGACCCCTGGGTAACTACGACAGTGGGAAGTCAACTTTTGGATTTTCTGATCCATGTGGGGCCACTTAATT